TGCTTAGCTTCCGAGATCAGACGGGATTAGGCTTGTTCAGGGTGGCATGGCCGTAAACACACACACACACACACACACACACACACACACAGTAGCCACCCTAACAGGTGTGAGGTGAATCCCTTTTTATAAAGACACCAGTCATTGGATTAGACCTCATCTTAACTTAATCATCTACAAAGACCCTATCTCCAAATAAGGCCACAGTCACAGGTGTTGGGGGTCGGGACTTCAACAGATTTAGGGACATGATTCAACCCAGAACATATATATTCACACATACACAAATAGTTTGTTTTGGTTCCTTACGTGGGGGTTGAGGGGGTGGTGATGGGTGTGTGTGTGTGTGTGTGTGTGTGTGTGTGTGTATGTACACACACACACAGTGTGTCTTGGAGCTGTTTCCACACCAGGATAATCTTAGCTGCTGCATGTTAGTACATGGTCTGGCTGTCTATTTAACAATCTCACCTTTGTAGGTATTTAGTTATTTTGGAGATTTCAAATGATATGGATGAATTCCAGTCATCCTCACTCAGGGAGGACTCTGTATAGGAAAGACCTGTCAGGAAAGGGTGCTGTGGGCCTGGACTCGGACACTGAGCACCTGCCCAGCGCCCGTAGACAAGCAGGGACACTGGGACTTGGTTTCCTTCCTGTGAAATAAAACAGGCTTGTTTAGCAGAGCTGCCGAAGCAAGCTTGCCAGCCAACCATCCCCACAGAACAAAGGAAGTTTATCTTCATTGGAATTGCCACCGCCGCCACCCACTGCAGCTCCACACAGTCTGAATTGTCATCGGGGAGATAGGGCAGGGACACTGTAAACAAGGGACATGAGTCCAGAATGAACAGCGTTGCGATATCAACCCACTGAGGGGGTGCTGCAGGCTTGCAACAGACACAATGCAACACCGTCCCGTGTAACTAGCAAGGCTTTCCCTTATTCTCAATCTGAGGATCTGCTCTCGTGAGCATCTTAGAGGCTTACAAATGAGATCACGACCCTCAATTTCACGGTTTTTTACCGAGAAGGGTGAAATGTGATGAATTCAGGTGAAGTTTGGTGATGGCGAGATGAGAAGAGGAGTGCTTCGCCCCTCCTGTTGGGTGGGGACAGTGTAGCCAGAGCCTCCCACGGAGGGTGAGCAAATAGGCTTCTATGTCTCTGTGAACCAAGACCTGGCCCAGAGGCCAGGACCCTGGAGCCCTTGCCCGCACAGTAGCAAATGACTGCTGACTCCAGCAGCAAGCAATAATCTTCCCGTTTGCCTCATAGGGGATGAAGGCTGATGTCATGCCTGGAAACTTGCTGGGGATGCTCCTGTGGTGGACACCACTTTATGCTTGAACTTCAACTTCCCCAAACTGCTTCCACACATTAGGCCTGTGAAGTAGGAACAGAAGTCTGACTCTGCCAGACTGGTTCCCAACCTTTTTGGCACCAGGGACTGGTGCTCCTATGAGAATCTAATGCCTGGTGATCTGAGGTGGAGCTGAAGTGGTAATGCTAGTGCTGGGGAGTGGCTGCAAATACACATGAAGCTTTGCTCACTGTGCAGCCTGGTTCCTAACAGGCCATGGACTGGTACCGGTCCATGGCCCAGGGGGACCCCTGATCTAGTCACTCACATGTACTTACTGAGCCCCTGCTATGCACTCTCTCAGGAGCTGGGGGGCCAGCTGGGACAGAGGCATGATCCTTGCCCTCTGCAGCTGGGACAGTAAATGACCGAGAGAACCATAGGCGGCAATAAGGATGCTGTAAACAATGAGAGCGGGAGGTGCTCACAGGACTGGAGAACTACTTCAGGAGCTCAGGAAAGGCCACTCTGAGGAAGTGACATTAAAGCTGTCTTTAAAATGCCACTTCTCAGAGCAACCTTGTCTGACCTCCGTGAGCAGCCAAATGAAGATGTAGAACCCAGCATCCCACAGGAAGAACAGCAAGTGGAAATCAGCTTGGTTTGCTCCAGGGACATAAAAAAATGTCAGTGTGCGTGAGGGGAGATGGTGGACAAGAGGGAGGTCAGGGTGGGAGCAGGTGGGGTCAGCTTGGAGCGGGAGATGGAGGGCAACAGGCGTCTGGATTCTGTCTGAGTACCAAGGGAAACACGCACAATCACAGAAATGAGAAAGGGGGGCGGGAGATGACCTCTGGTAGTGGCAGAGTGGTGAACTAAGCATGTAAACCCCAAGATGACAATGGTAAATACCAAACTGAAAAATATTTAAAGACACTGGGAAGCAGACAGAAACTAGAATTCTAACTAAAATCAAAACCAACAGAAACCAGCTGCCCTGGGAGGGGAAACACTGGCCCAGGGTGCTGCCCACCCTCAGCTCTGGCTGTGCAAATAGGCAGGACAAGTCGAAGCTCCTCTGGCTAATGGTGCTGACCTGAGCTGGGGAAGCAGTGGGAATTTATGGGAGCCCTGTAACATGAACTCTTTAGAAAGAACAAGATACCCTCCCCAGATGACAGGTCAGCCAGGTGTGCAGGGAGAACCTGGAGAAGGCACATTTACCCCAGAGCGTAGTGCAGAGTGAGAGCTGTGAGCGATGCATCTCTACCCTGAGTGCTCTCAACCTCATGTTCCTCGGTGACCGAACTCTGAAGCCTGATGGGCTCAGACAGAGCCCAAGGGAGACACAGCAGCTGGAAGCTGGCAGAACCGTGTCCTAGAGAGAAGTCCCCCCTCTGCCCATATCCTGGGCCTGGTCCCGTAGGCATAGGGTGGACCTGTGTAACTGGGCCAAAAAGCTGCAGTGGGCAGCTCCAGGAACAGGCGGCAGTGACGGCAAACCAGAGGGGGCAGGTCTGCAGTTTGGATGGGGCAGGTGAATTGCTCACCTGAACAAAGAGCCAAGCCTCTGCAGAGGGACGTGACAGACTCCAAGTTCACCATAACACTATATATACAATATCCAATTTTTAGCCCCAAATTACTGAAATGTAAAGAAACAAATATAAATCTATATCCAGGAAAAAAGACCAATCTATAAAAACTGGGCCCAGATGTTGGATTCAGCAGACTTCAAAGTAGCTATTAAATATGTCGAAAAAATGAAGAAATTGAAGGAAAATATACAATTGATGAAGAAATAGGGAATCTCAAAAGAGAAATACAAATTACCAGAGAATGCAAATCCTAGAGCTGAAACTATAACTAAAAGTTTTGCTATAATGGCTCAGGATCAGATTGGAGATGGCAAAGAACCAGTGAACTTGAAGAGAAACCAGTAATAATGACATGATCTGAACAATACAGAGAAAAAAGACTGAAAAATCAACACACAGCATTAGCCTTCAGGGAAATGCAAATCAAAACCATGATGAGATACCACTTCACACCCAGGAGGACAGCTGAAATCAAAAAGACGTGAGAACAACTGGTTTCAAAGACTAGGAAAAAATGGGTCGCTTATTTGGACACTGCTAGTGGAAATATAAGATGGTGCAGTTGCTTTGCAAAATAACCTGGATGTTCCTCAGAGGGTTAACTGAGGTATCATGCGACCCAGCTGTTCACTCGCAGGTACATATCCAAACGCACGAAAAGCAAGTCTGCAGAAAGACTTGTGCATGAATATTTATAGCAGCATTATTCACAACAGCCAAAAAGTGGAAATAACATAAATGCCCATCAAATGATGAATGGATAAACAAAATGTGGCAAAATCAAACAATATATTTTGGTCATAAGAAGGAATGATATACTGACACACACAACATGCATGAACATTGAAAACCCTGCTCAGTGACAGAAGCTAGTCATAAAAGGCCACATATTGCATGATTCCATTTATGTGAAATGTCCAGGGAAGACAGATTTGCAAAGACAGATTTGATGGTTGCCTTCTCTCCTGCACCCCACAATCCCTCAACCTGCTGCCTAGAATATGGATGTGATGGCTGGTTCCCAGCAGCCACACTGAAACACAAGGATGAGTTACACCTTGGAGACAGCATAGAAGAGAACTGGCATGATCCTTGGTCTCTTATAATTTCAGGGAACTGCCACACTAGTCTGCTGATTTGGATTTTCTATTATATACAGTAAATTCTGACACAACGAGCATGTGAACGAGGGCAGAGAAGCAAGGCGGAGGGAAGGGAAGGGAGCTTGCTAGGGAAGCTGGCAGCATCCCTGCCAGACTTACCTGCCACTTAGCCACGGCCTGGCCCCCACCGTGGAGGGCTTTGTGGGACTGAGCGTGGACCCTCATCATCTAGCTCCAGGACTGAGGACCCCTAGCACAGCAGGACAGGGTGCAGGTCCAACCATCTCAGCAGAGAAGCACTGGAGGGGCAATGGGGTAGGTTAGGAAGGCACGTTCATGGGGGCAGAGTGGGGCCTTTTGTGTGGTTTTCGGCTTAGGAGTGAGTTCTCCGTTATCAGGACTCATTGCCAATTACAGATGTCACTGCGTCTGACCCAACATCCAAAATGAATGGGGACAGGATGCTCTGGCAGGGACACAGGACCTGCCAAGGCCAGAACTCTGTGGACCGGAACTGAGAAGCACCAAGACTGCGGTCTCAGCGGCACGCAGCACGGCAGCTACTAGCAGAGACTCCAGAAGTGGGTGTCCTGGTTTGGGGCCAGCCCCTGATGTCTGCCTCCATGTGAGTTACTCAGCCTTGTGTCCTGTCTCTGCTCTGAGACTGATAATAACAGTGTGCATCCCATGGTGGTGCCAAGAGGCTGAAGTATGCCACACGAGGTTCTTCAGAGCCACTGGATATGCTAGCAGATTTACTGCCACCACCCTCCAGCAAAATTCACAGGCCCCAGGGACCCCATCTTGAAATCTGGGTCTTCAGCCAGTGACTCTTCTCCCTTCCGCTCTGCTACGAGACATGTCACCTCAGCGTTTCCTGAGGTGCGACCACACTGACACGTGGCTATTTTGTCTGGATGCCAAGATGTGTCCCCCTTGAGTGCGGGGACCAGGTCTATTATTTACCTAGTGAGCACTCAAGTATTTTGCCAAGCATGTTATTCAGAACGATTTTATTCTTAAGCACTGTATATACATTTATAGGTGCGTGTGATGTATTTCATGTACATGGATTGGGTAGCTGTTAGAGGACCACAAACACCAACTGGGAACTCATTTTCTACACGAGTAAAGTATGGAGAACAACACATCAGTTAGGAGACCAAGACCATACACAGACAGAGATGGATGCAGGTTTTCATCATTAGGAACAACCCTCCCCCCTCCCACCTAGGGTGTCACAACAGGGTAGAAAACTAGTCAAGGGCGCAACTTCTGGGTGCCGGTTTCAGACTATGAGGGGTAGGAGGGAAGAGTGACAAACAGGAACCTTGGAAGCTGGCTACAGCCCTGCCATGAGCCCCACACCGCAGTGGCCATAGTGACGTCCTGATCACTGGGCAGTGATGAGCCGCTCCTGCTGACTTCTCCCGGCGAACTCAGTTCCCTTGCCTCACGAAGACATCAGAAAGATCCCGGGTTCCTTCCAGCTTTAGATTCTGAAGGAGGATCAAACACACATGGACCCGCCACACCAAGAATGCAAGAATCACAAAACAAATTCTACTTGTGGTAGTGAGGCAGTGATGGCAAAGAAAGAGGTCTGTCTCATGGTTATAAGTAAAATTATGCCACAGCAAACACAGTTTGCACAATAGAGCTGGTTTCAAACACCTGCCAGTTGCAGGGAAAAAGCAGAAGGTGAGCCCTCTGCTCTGGTCCCTGCACCATCTCTCTGTGTGCAAGGCCCAGGGCTAAGCTGTCCTCTCTGAAGAAACGAAGGGGAGATGAGTATAAAGGCTGCCAGGGGCCAAGCATGTTTCCTCACCTGTCCAGTCACTCTCGTCTCTGAGCAGGCTTCTGCCCACCCTCCCGCCCCGTGAATTCTCCACCAGTCGCAGGCAACTGTCCCCTTAGGACTGAGCCACTGTCAGAGCCCGTCCTGCCTAATTCGCACATCACCCCTTACATGGCACTAGGGGGAAGTGTAATGTACTACATCCGGAACCATCCTTTCTTGTGCCCACTCCTGGACTGCTGGTGATGAAAAGCCCAGACCACACCTCCCAAGTGTGACCTCTGCAGCTCGGGATCCGGAAGTTGCTTAGGTATGGCTGACCAGTCACATGGAGCTGGCACTCAGGGCCACAGAGGCAGGGGGCCGAGCACCCATTGGTGCATGCCAAACCCGTCACATAGCATATGAAGGGGATTCATGACCTGGGAGGCTCGTGACCTAGGGGGAAGGAAGGAACAGGAGAAGGAGGCCAGAGAAGGGTCGTGTTCTGGTGGTGAGTGGGAGACTCTTCTCACATCTAATGTGTCCTGCGAGTCACACTGATGGCCTTTTTCTAAGTTACGTCTCGGTGCCTGGACAGTCCTCTGGGTTGAAGTACTACATAAGTCACTGTACGTAAAGTCCCTATGAGGTCACCCATGAAAGACTAAACAAAAAGCTTAAACAGGAAGAGGACACTGCCATGCTTACCAGAGTCACCTACCTTTTCATTGGCTAAATGCAGGAGACAGGCAAAGGCCAGGGGCACAGACAGGTTCTGAGCCATGAGCGGGGGCAGGCTGTGAAACAAAGGGCAGTATTTAGCTGGGTGACTGCAGCACTAAGGACAAAGGCTCTTTCACTAACATGAGCACACATGTCCAATGAGAAACAAAGAAGTATTTTAGATGCATTTTATAAGCAGGCTTTTCCAGTTTCTTATCTGGAAATAAAATATCTCCTGTTCCATTCCAACCACTGGCACAGAAAAAAAATCGCCTTTTAAAGTTGGTCTATGTTAAGTCGTCCATCAATGCAGAGAAGACACAGAAGACCTGCTAGGTATGTGACAACAGCAGGTCATGTGCAGCAGGCCCATCACACCAATGCCTCGGGTGGAAGTGCCCTCAGCCGTGCTCGGAGACACCAGCCCTGAGTCTGCTGGCACGCACCTCTTCTGCAGGTCCCTTGTGAGTCCACTGAGCATCTTCTTGTCAGTCACCTCCACTGGGTCCCCTTCCTTTCCAGTCTTGCTGTGGTTTGCCTAACAAAAGAAGGACATTCACAGACATCTTGGGGTCAGTACGATTTTGAGGGAGCAACATAAATTCACAAAGTTGTATCTCTAAAAAGAAAAGTCCACATCTGAATGAAACCAAAACAGTTTCTTAGATACATTTTCAAGAAAAAGGGTCCATGAAGGAACCAGTGCCCTGGACCATGACACCGACATTTACTGAGGTTTGGTAAACATAGTGTCCATAGCCAAGCGCGATCCTGGTAAAGGAAAAACTGCAAAATAAGAAAAAAGACAAAACAATAACAAAAGGTATGATCACTTCTAGCTTCAACTGGACCATACAGCCAGAGTAGCACAGAATCCATATCTAAAAGCAAATTGGAGCTTTCCACTTAACACACACACAAACACACCCCACCCACCCACCCCATGGGGCTGCCTCCTTGCTAGAAGGCAAGGAGCTATGAAAGAATATAGCTTCTGCCTTAAAATAACTCAGAAGGTACATGATGGGGTGGGAAGAAGGAACAGGACAGAGCTGGGTGACAGCATAGGTAAAACATTGATCATTACGGGAAGCAGACATTCACTATACTATTCTATTTTTTATTTTTAAGTATGTTTGAACATTTTCATAATAAAAGTTTTTTTGTTTTTTTTTTTAAATAAACCTTTAATTAACCGGAATCCCTGGAGGACAGGGTATCATAAGTCATTTAAATTCAAAAGTTAAGCAGAAACCCCTTTTAAAGGCACATTTTTCTTACATTTGTACCCCATTCCACTTTAGTTGCTAAAATCTTATAATACAACTGAAGTATTATGAGATATCTGAGACTACACAGTGCGGGGTCCTCAATCAGACCAAGAATTCTCACTCCTCAGCCAGCAGGAAAAGGCACAGAGTACGGGCTGAGCCTGGAAGCTCAGAACATTGCGCGAAAATAGAGGCCTGGAGGGGGCAGGTTCTCGTGAGCGGAACATGTTCACAAGGTTTCACCTCACTCTGAAGAACAGACAAGATGACAGCAGAGTACTTGTTTTTTTTAACTTTGCTACTTAGAATACATTTCCCAAATTAGAATTATTAGATCAAAAGGCCTGAAGGCCTTATGTGGCACCTGAAGTGTCAGAATTTGCTGTACAAAAGGGCCAATTATCAACTTAAATGGCACCCGCTGTGAATCTGTGCCCGCGTCTTTCCTCGCCTCTGCAGAGAAACACTGCTGAGCTGCGACTTGGAAGCAGCACAAATGTCCTCTCATGGTGTCCTCACCAGCAGCAAGGTAAAGTGTGTCCCACGATCACCCTCTACCACCTGGTGTGTGACCTGCTGTCACACCCTCAGTTCACCTCTTTCAGGTGTGATGGCTCCCATTTCTGAGTGCCGCCTTCTGCGTTAGCTCTGGGTCTTGGATCTGTGAGCACTGGTGGCTCCCTTCCCCTCCCCCACGTGGAGCACCTAGAGGACAAGTGGAGCCTGTCACCTCTGTATCAGCTTGTGTGGAGAATTCTGTCAGCAGATGCCACATGCTCTGCTTCAGCTTCTTCATGTCCATCTTTTTGGCAGTCTTGGCATAGTGAATTTCCATTTTATTTACCTGAAATAGGTGACGGAGGAAAACTAAGCAGAAGAAACATTTACCATCAACACACTGTAAAATGAGTCTGGTGTTCAAGTAAAGAAAGAACTGAGTTCAAATCACGGAATTAAAGAGCTCTTTTTGGACACACTAGAGTCCCTTGTTCTGATTTCTTCTTGGTCAAGTGCTATCTACACCAAGGCTACTCTGGAATTTCAGGGCAAGAGAGAGAAGCGAGTCAAATACGTATGAGGGCCTGTCACTGCCATGAGGCAGGCAGATGTTTAATGAGGACAATTTAATACGAACCGAATTTGGCCGGGATTTCCAGAGCCTGCCAGCCTCACCCAATCGGCAGAAATCTGCCCTCTGCTTGCGGCCCCCTTCACATAATTTGTGTGGCCAGGTTATCACACCTTTCAGAGACATGGCTTTTCCACACGAACCTAATGAGCATCAATCAGTTCATCCCCTAGAGCACTATTTAAGAACTAGCCACTGAGAGAGCAACTGGTTAAAATTGAGAAGAAAAACTCAAGCTCAGACAAGATGACTCTCATCCATAGGGCAAATGACAGTGACCTTGAGAGAACACTACGGAATGGAATTCTCGCTCCATCTTTACCTTCTGAGGCTCAGCTACCAGGTTTGACTCCCCATAACTGGTGATGTCCGACCCTTGGACATCAGGTGTGTCATCGTCCTCTTGTGTAGTCTTGGGTGGATGGCAAGGATAAGCTGAGAGGTCAGAGGTCCCAACGGCTCCCACAAATAAGTCACCCGACTCTTCATCGTCACTGTCAGCATCCTGGGAATGGAAACAACTCTTCAACTTTGGCAGAAGCTGTGGCAGGGCTTAGAGAGGTCCCAGAAACAGACTCATACTTTGAGTCAGCCCAGGATGGACTTCGAGGTGCCTCTAGCTTTCCTCCTGTCACATATAAACCCTATGAGGGAGGCATCTGTTAACTAAGCCTCTAGAATGAGAGTTAAAAGGAATGCGGTCTTCACAGTTGCCAGTGTCCCCTTGATCTCTAATGAGTTTAGGACTTCATTTTCTGGCAGCAGGGGTCCTGCTGGGAACCAGGGGGAGAGTTGTTCCTAGCCGAGCCCAGCAGGAAAGGTCAGCTCTCTGGGGTGGGGCCCAGGGCCAGTTCCTTAGCCAGCTCTCCTGGTGACCCCTATGCACGCTGAGTTTGAGAAACACTGGTCAAGAGGTCAGTCTGGAGTTTCACTAAAATATAAAAACCCAACTTTCCTCCAAGTAAGACAATAACGTGAATAAACTCTCCTTCTGATTCTCTTCCCTGTTCCCACGTGCAGGGACCCAGACGTGGCCTAGTGTTCTTCCCTTTTTGTTACCACCACTGGGTCTCAGTGATGGACACACAGGAGGGACAAACATTATCCAGTCAAACCAGGATCTAAAGTCGGGAGTAGCTCGTGCAAGTCCATGTGACAACCGACAATAGAGCTATACCCTGGTCCCAAGACCGCCCCCCCCCACCATGAACTTTTTCCTCCAAGACCCACTATCTCCTCATGTCAATGTGTTTTGTCTCCTTGACCAAGATAGCAGCTCCTAAGACCAAGAAGTGTTCTTTCCTTTTGAACTCCAGAAGAACCGAAACAAGTGCTCTGCGCGGTCTGACAATGCTCCACACGCTGGCTGGGTTGCTGCAGTGTGGCCACTCGTCCAGCTCACAGGGCCAACAGCATGGCAGGCCATGCACCCAACCCCACCTGACTAGGGCCTCCTGCAGCCTTCCTCCACCCGGGGTGGGGGGAGGGAGGCAGGAAAGATGTTTGGAGGGGAGGACAGGCCTGCCCCTCACCTGTAACCCTGGGCAGAAGTTGCAGGTGTCATTGGCGTTGTCGTAGTCATAGTCTCCGATGTCTTCATAATGCTCGGTCTCTGCACTCCGGGCCGTCATTAGTAACTGAAAAGAAGGCAAGAACTACAGAAACCATCTTCTAGAAAAGTAGCCACTTAATGAGGTGGGGCCATCACCTCCATGCCTCTGCACAGCCCCTAGACTCCGAGTCGTGGGGGCCCCAGGGCACCACACAGCCCAGCAGCCCTTGACACACAGTCCCTTTCTAGTGTGAGCCTGGGTAGCAGGGCGCAGGCCTCCATCCGTCCCGTTAGTCAGAGCAGTTGGTGTGCAGTTAGGTCTGCACACAATTTTACTTGAAAAAAGTTTTCACTCAAATTGAAATTGCCCACAGCTATCTGAAAAGCAACCAACTTGCTGCAGCTTAAAGGACTGGCAGAAGACTCACTCCATCCCTGCTGTGTCTGTGGGCAGCCGCTGCTCCCTACAGAGCCACAGAGAAACATCGAGCTCTCTGTCCCACCATTACAACCAGGGACCCTTGTCCCACCTCCCAGACCCCATCGGCTTCTCCTTCAGGAGAGCCTGCTGAGCAGACTTTTAAATACACACAGGCCCTTACATCAGTGACTTTAACTAGCGGGTGCCTTTGGGGTTAAGAAATAGGGTTACAGGTATGTAGAGTGTACAGAAAAACACCGAATATTTTAGTGCAACCATATACCCCAGAGCAGCCTCCACCGTGTCTGGAATGCAAATCCAAAGGCCACGGTAAACAAGAGGCATCTGCTGAACTAAGAAATGCCCATCTTCTCCTGCTGCGCCTTGGAGGGCACAGCGGCTGCACCCCTCCTCGGGACATGCTCCACTTGTTTCAAGTCTACAAGAAATGTTTCAGAAGGGGTGAGCGAGCCCCCGTGGGCAGGTTGGCTGCCATCGGGGTCCCCATTAAGATGTGAACTGGAAGCCTGGTTGATCTGCAATCTGTTACCCAGGAGAGCGCTAAGTGTCCACTGTTCGTGGACCGGCATCGGACACGGTTTCCTAGCATAGCTCTGAGAGACGGTGGTGATCTGGGTGCCTGTGCCGCTGCTCTGCTACCCACAAGGACCGGCTCCTGTGCCTACACAGGACAGCTCGATGCGGGCCAACTCCCTGCAGCTCGGCCCTGCTCGGCGGCCTTGGGGCTATTGTCCAGCTAGAGAGATGGCCAGGGCACCTGAGTGACAGTACCCAGCCACAGTAACCACTGCAGCTGTGTTATCTCTTTCTGTCTGTTTTTTCATGTTGAGGTATAATTGACATATAATAGTGTATTAGTTCTCTCTGCATTTTTAATAGTTGACCCTTGAACAACACAGTACAGGTCCACTTATATGCAAATTTTATCAATAATCACTGTAAATGTCTTTTCTCTAGCTTACTTTACAGTAAGAATACAATGTGTAACACATATAACATACAAAATACATGTGAATCTACTGTTCATGTATCGGTAAGGCTTCTGATCCACAGCAGGCTGTTAGTAGCTATGTTTTGGGGTGATGGAAAGTTGTAAGTGGATTTTCGACTGTGTGGAGGGGTGGGTGCCCCTGGCTCTGCCTTGTTCGAGGGTCTGTTAAGCAAGCAGTACTGACGAGAAAGAAAACTACATACATCAGGGCTGGTTTACAAACACGGAATGTGAGATACCAGTGGATTCAGAAACTGGGTATACATCCTCATACCTCGTGGACGAACAGGCAAAACAAGGAGGGAATGATGGACTGTACACCTGATGCCAGACTAAAACAACCAGGAATCAATGAGCAGAGGGTTCTGATCACACGGAACAAGCATGAACCACTGCTGGGTTACCCTGGCGACAGGGACCGCAGGTGGTGCAGTCAGGTGCACGGCACCTCCATTTCCCCATGTGTCACAGTGGGCTCCTGTCTACACCTTGCCCATGAGGGAGACCAGGCGGGCTGGGGAAGCATAGGCTAGTGAATCCCAACTTCAATGAGAAATTGAGACTATCAAGAAACAACTAACATCGTGCACAAACTTCAACAGAAGTTTTTATGCGTGTCCCTAGCACTGCAGCATGGAAGCCTGTGTCCCGCATCCAACCTGCTGAGGTCTCCGAAGCATGAGTGTGCGCCTGTCCTGTGAGCTTCTCCCTCCAGCTCTGCCTCACCCCTACCTCCTGGTAACTCCCCTGGGCCCACACAGTCCTCCTGGCTCTCATCTTTTCCTCAAGACACAGCCTGATTGGCACACTGCCAGCCACTTGGTACCTGATGCTCTAAACAGGCTCGACAACAACAGTGGCCTCGAGGAACAAGGCACAGCCCTTACCCTGGTGCCTGGTTTGAGGTGTAGCCTGACGAGATCATTAGCCTCATAGTGGAAGTCTGCGGGGAGAGTGGTGGCTCTGCAGGTCTGGTTCTCCAGAGTGGACTTGGTCAGAACTGTGGGAGCCTAGCAATAAAAAACAAACGGGTTTTTAGGCATCTTTAATAAAAATAGTCAACACCTATTCCTTTTGGAAGGAGCTCGGAAAGGCTATGGGCATCACTGGTCCACCATCAGAGTTCCCAGTTCTGTGTAAAACAGCGACTCTGCTACATATTATTCATATTCTAAACTTGATTCTACCACTGAATTTGGGACTATTTCTTGATTCCTGTACAAACTGAGGGGCAATAAAGCCATCTGTTTACCCTAAGAGTTAAAGTTATAATAAATTTTTTAAAATCACATCTAAAAAGAGGAGTATGAAGAGTAATTTAAGAAAGGACAAACAGCAATAGATACAGCACAAACCTTTGCTTTTCTAAAATACACATCAAAGTCAATGTCGTCATCAAAGTCAATTTCGAACTCTTTCTTTGTGCTCTTCTTTCTGTTCTCTGACTTCAAGGCAGTCTCTTCTGCAGAAAGAGACACTGATGGCACGCTATTCACCCCTGGGGCTGGTACTCCCTCATCCCACCAGACACGCTGATGGCCTCACCAACCGCAGTGTGAAAGCACTAGGAAAGGCTGATCATACACCTGATCTGCATCTTTAACTTATAATTTTGTTTTTGCTAACAAAACACAATAAAGTATATATACTAGTTAATCCCTTCTTTTCAAAGAGGAAATGCTGGCATAATCCTTCGAAGTCCCACCTCTGGCTGCCTCATGCAGGAACTGGCGAGGGCCGAGCCTGTGGGTCATTCCCACCTCTGGCCATCGTTGGAGGTCACCTGGATACCAAGGGGTGGGACCAAGTCAAGAGTACAGTTCCCTGGGCTCTTCCCACTCAGAGGCCTCTCTCTTAACGGAATCTACATGCCAGGCCAGCTGACCAGCCAGCCAGTGGGCTGGCTTATCTGTGTGCTGCTGTAGCTGACCAGGAGGTTCAACAAGACAGCGACTGGCATCTCCCTTCCTCGGCTGACCTGCTGTCTGCTGGTCACCGCCACCTCTCTACCGAGGCCCCTCGGGGATACGTACGCTTGTGTCGGGGTCTAAAGCGCCAGTGCTCCGGCCCGGCCCACATTGACATGGTGCGGGGGCTGAAATAGGAATATTCTCCTGGCTTCATGGACAGAAGGGGGCACATGGTCCTGATGTCCCCATCGCCGAGGGGAATTGCCTCTTCCCTGTAACACACATGCAGTCGTGTTTCCACGTGTAGTCATGTCCATGTCGATATGAATGGCCCACACATGCACTCGTGCCAAGTAGCACGCAATACAGTTGGAGTTCCACCCACCGCCCACCATTCCATGGACGAGCACTATGAAGAGCAAGTCCAGTGCAAATACCTCATCAACAAGCTTTGCTTCTCTTAATTTTACAAAAATATGGTCATATCTACACAAGTATTTTGGATGTTTCAAAGTGCTTTGTAAATGCAAGTTTACCCCCTTGAGAGACACAAAGGCAGAGGCAGGAAGAAGCTAAGTTTTATGGAGACTACACACGAGTGGAGCACCAGGGCTGGGAGCTGGCACATCCCCTGCTCCCCAGCCTCAGGCTCTTCCCCCACAGGCTCCTGCCACATGCTGGCACTCACACCCTCTCCTCACCACCCTCCATAGAGGGCTCCCGGAACTCTGTGGTAGCACCTACTGAAAGTGGAGACGTCAATCTAATTGATGTCCCCAAATGCTGCAGTCTCATAACTGGTTAAGCTACCCAGCTCATTCTTTGCCAAATGTGATGCGTCTTACTCTCCCGTCCAACATGGCAGCTTGGGTTTGTTTCCACCCTTTCTGCAAACTACTGGTACGCCTGAGGCAGCTTTCTCCTGACAGTCTGACCGTCACTTAATCTCTCTGGGCCTATTTTCACATCTATAAAATGGGGCAAACAGGATCTAATCATAAGAATGTTGTGCAGATGAAGGCTACGCTATGTAAATTATGTGAAATGACACAGGAAAGGTACCCAGCACAGCGTCTGGCACAATGTCAGTAATTATCAAGGTGTTGCTACTGTCATCTAGTCCAACTCTTCATCTCATGGATGAGAAAACAAAGAGCCACCTGCCCCGCCTTGCATGACTTCCATGGCAAGGCCAGGTCCGCTTCAGTTCAAACAGTGAGCTCCGGGACAGTCCAGCACTGCGCCAAGGGTAGGGGGCTTCAGGGTGGACAAAGCCCTAGGCTAAAATGTAAGCCTCCCAAAGCACTCATCGCCAGGATGGAGTCTAAGGTTTTGTGCTGTCTGGAGCTGGGGCGAGAAATGAAGACACTTGTCCAAAATCTGTTCGAAATAAGCATCTATGGTCCTAACAAAATAATAAAATGGAAGTGACCGTGCTGCCATCAGGTCCCCAGATGTTACTGCATCACTTAGGAGGAGTGACAGTTCTTCTGACAGTTGAAAATGTCCCCCAAGCTGCCTGCCGTATCTCAATTCTCAGAAGGTGCCAAAGGGCCTAGGTGGTAACTTTGCCCTCAGGTGCCAACGTTCAGCCCTGGACCTGTACTCCGATTTGAAGGCATATTATCAATCAAATCATTTTCCACACAGACAAACTGAGCTCAAGAAGGCAGTCTCTTACCCTGGAGACAGTAAATCCATGCTCTAGAAGGGATTCTTGCCTCAGCGGGAAACTATACTGGACTTCTAAGATTTTCCCCACACTCGACCAGCTCAGCCACCCACAGTCCCAGGCTTGCAAAGCTGCTCTTATAGGCACAGGTGTTACCAGGGGCCTGTTCTACACCCAGGCCCACTCAAGACCTTTAGGGGCCCTCAGCACTACAGAATTGTGGGACCTGCCTCCAAATCATATTCAAAATTTAAACAATAGCTATCCATTAAGTACACATATTAGTAATGGCCGCCAGAGCTCCAATTTTCTTGGATGCTTTCAAAAATGATAAAAATTATAAATGACTGCAGACCAGTTCCACCAGCTCCAGATACTCAATGTCGTATCTCCAGCTCCAGATACTCAATGTCGTCTGCTTATTGAGTTTTCCCTGCTTTGCTTGGTCCCAGCCTGCTTGCCTGGGAACCCAACACTGCTCAGCCCCACTCTGCCTGACCCTTCAGGCAGGGCGCGTTTATTCTGTAAGCAACACATCAGCCTGTTTCTGTCTATAATGCTATGTAGCACTTTGGCCAGGAGCCGGACCACGTGCAGTGTGTGGAAAGGGAGCACACTGCATGACACCGCTAGAGCCATCATTGCAAATGCCACCACCAAAGCAGCTACTTTCCCAGCACTTTATCCACTTGAGCTCTACCTTTACAAACTCTTGCAATGTCAGTTTTATAAACAATAAGTGGATGAGCCAACATTGAAAGGCAGGTGTGATTCCACCATGAGTTGCATGATGGCTCCACCTGTGTGGACAACGTGCACAGCAGCACAGGCAATCAGAGATGAAATGAGACTGTCCCAGCAGGAAATCTGGGGAGACTACCACAGGAAATTCTCCGGGGCCCAGAGAGCCTTACTGGCAGCTTTGCCCATGGCAGGGCTCCCTCCAGCTCCTGAACTCTGCATGATCCCCGGAGGCAGTGTAGCCGGGTTCATCACTGGCATCAAAGTCGTCCAGGGGTCCATCAGGGGAATCCCTGCCATCACTGTCCTCTACCGGGATGTTGATGTCAAATACCTGATCGTTCTTCTTGAACTTGTCTACCAGGGCTGACACAGACTGAAGGGACAAAGAGAGGTTTCTTGTCATTTCCGTGACCACCCCGGTCACAGTTAGATGTGCCTTCTCACCCCTAAATTCCAATTTCCAGCCTCCTCCCCCTCCCCGGAGCCAACGTTCTCATGATAGAAAAACACTGGAGTCGTTTATATTCTGTGCACAGGGTGGAGCTGCACTGTTAGGCACATTTTGTAAAACATGAGACGGGAATCTACATCCATTAACCACATGTTTAGAGAAAACAGTTGTCCATGGAGACCATTTATTTTGGAAGCTATAGTAAGTAGGCTAAAGGGACCATGCTAAAAATAAACAAAGGAAAGCTTGACACGTGACAATTTCTCAGGAAACTCTGTGCCAAGGGACTCAATCTCAGAGCAGGAAATTCCTCGAGCTTGACAGCAGCCCAGAGGCCAGCGACCACCAGGATGACCAAGCTCAAGAGTGAATCTGGTCGGTGTGTGCGCCCAGGCTTGTCAGGACACTTCACCCAAGGGGAGCACCAGGCTGGCTCCTGACATTATCAAGCTGTTCACTGGTCCTGCTGGCACTCGCCCCACTCCTACCCTTTCCCTGCTCCTGCCCCAGGTTTTGGTCTCTACAAAAGAGCCAAAGCAAATATTTTCTGTAGTCGTGGCTGAATCAAAATGATGCCACAGTATTGGTTCCCACTGGAGCCTAGGCATCCACAGGCCCACCGCACCTCATCATGTGCCTCACTGTCCCACGTGGCAAGCTGGAACCCAGCCAGGGAAGGGCAGATCTGGCGTTCCTCGGCGCACTGCTGCAGGAGCACTGTGAGGCAGGAGAGCAGTGCGGTTAGGGGCAGTCATGCACAGCGGCACCAGAGGCACAGCCACCTCTGGTCCTACACGTGGGCAGATACACAGGCACCCCAGCACTGGATGTGGGCTCTGTGCCAGCACTCCAGCAATCAGTGCAATGCTAGAGCAGGGCCTGAAGTACAGACATGCAACTCTGAAACACACTGTGTGCCGAATGCCGCGGCTGGGAAACCCAGAGCCCAACGTGTAGGGCTGCTCATCTCAGGCCTCAAGGGACCTGACAGGTACCACCTAGCAGCACTAGAGGCCCAGCTGAGCACACTGGCCTAGCAAACGAGTTGTCAGTCTGAAATTGTCTGACTTAGCGAACCTGAGAGAAGGCTAAAGAGGAGCAGGTGCTGTGCCCTCTGCCAGCCTTGGAGGCAGGGGTCGGGCTCACGCAACACAGAGCAATGACTATACTCAGGCGGTGCTCTTGCGTCCTCGCGCCTGGCACCCCCTACCTGTGCCTGTCACAGCAGCCTCAGATGAGCCCCTCACTGGGGGCATGGAAGGCAGGCTGGGAGGGGGATAAAGTCCTTGCCCAGGGGTCTGCAAACAGTTCCTCAATGCCCACTTCTCCGCAGGCCCCAGACTGGTAACAAATTAGAATGAGGCCTTTCTGGCTTGATGAGCCTCTTACAGGCCCTTTCCCAAGTCCAAACTCTGACTGTGGGGTCAGCCCACAGCTCCAGAATGTGACTGACGATGGGCTGCTAAAAGGGCATCTGAGGGATGGGCACGTACACCAGGTGCAGGGGGCGCTGGTGACTATGGTGTCACCCGTGCTCACCAGCCAGGAACCCAGTCTCTCCCGAAAGGATGCCCAGTTTGGCACTCCAGGGGAAACTTCCAGGCAATTTATGCAAAAAGCACAAAAGCACGATGGGCTTTCTACACTCCACAGTTATGAGAAACATCTCTGACGGCTGACATGCTCTGGTGAAGGGTGCCGTGTGGACTCACCTTTTAAATCTGTCATTTCTACGCAGCCCAGGTCCGGCATCTCGGGAGGCCCCCCAGTGGAGAGGGCCTGGGCGTCAGAAGGGAAAAGCAGCTCACTCCTGTAGTCGTGGCAGTGGAGGGTGGAAAGAAAGACCCCTGCTGTGCTGCCCTCATCAAATGAGGCTGCCATCTTCTGAAACATGGGATCGATCTGAGCACAAACACGGAACCCAAGGTTACGGTATGGAGCCAAGGAAACGAACTCCACTCACTGGGCCTGCTCCTCACGGCTGCACACAGCGGACTGAAACATCTCCGCACTTGCTCTCACTGACCAGGTGAAAGCCCATCCCGGCAGATGCCAGTTCAAAAGAGGCTGCATGT